ACTGACCTGGCACAAACTGTGACCATCTCATCTTTCTTGTGCCTTGTTAGGCTGGCGACCCCCTCCATCACAAGGTGTTTTTCTTACTGAATCTAGTTTCAGATAGGAGCAATAGAATTAGCAGAGCAGCAGACGTGCTGGGACATTCTGGAAAAGCACAGAAAGTGCCTGAGACAGAGGCAGAGCTCACAGATTTTCATAAAACTGTGTTGATTGCTACCCTGTTGGTATCATCTGACTTACAGAGATTCCCAGCAGCTGACAGTCAAGCCTTTGGTGGTTTTCTCACAATAGTTCTACATAAACAAAAGTTTGGAAGGAATATTTCCAGGTCTAAAACCCTTTATGGTGAATATTGGCTCTTTTAGGCAGTGATTAAGTGGAAACTGGTGAATCACTCAGGCTTGAATTTGACACAAAAAAGTAGGAAAGTAGTTTTTGTTTATTTTTACAAGGTAGGTAAATACTTATGTTCAGAAAAAGAAACTCAATGAATAATGAAAATTACTTTAACTTCTTGAATACAAAGGATACATATGGGATGTATATATTTTCTCATATGTATAAATGTATCAGTTGAAATTGTAGAAGTTAGTAGGAATTGGAAATGGGTGAGGATTCGCCAGACTCTTTACCTTGAAGTAAATTATTGTCTCAATGTCACTTTTGTGGGTGACTCCAAATGATGTGGAAGACAAATGGTTCAAAAACAGGAGAAAAGTGCTGAATGCTAATTTGCTTACTCCAGAGCTGAATGGAAAAGGCATTAGGGAAAATACTCTGAATGGATTTGGCAGCCTGTGCTATAAGAAACATTACCCATAGCACATGCAGACAGAGCAGTTAAGTGTTAATAGGAAAGAATACTTTGTTTTTTTCCTTGAAACTCATCTCAGTAGATATGTTGCTAAGAAGTGTAAATCTGTTATAAGACATAATTATTTAATTAATTAAACATTCTTTGCTGCTACTAACAGCTGGGAAACCATGAGTAAGAGGTAAAACATATCCTCCTGATGCTTGGGAAGCCAGGTGTTTGGGAAGTCAAGGCTGTGTGTTCATGGGCTGGTAGACACAGCAATGTTGGTGTGAATTGCAGGGCAGCCACCCTTGGAGAATAGATGTGGATCAGAATTCATGGCAATTCTGAGCACCTGGCAGTGCCCTGGCAGTCTGTCCTTGCTGCTACATCTCACTTCTGCACTTGGAGCTGCCTCCACTCTTCACCTTTATTCCATTTAAAACACAGGTATGAGTCATGCTGCTGCCAGCAATGGGATTGCTCATTTCCCGTGAGTAAGTCTGCATGGAAACTACACTGACACAAAATGCTAGATTTATTTGCTAGAGACACATACATGTTTACATTTATATTATATATCTGTTTTTATCTGTCTCTTTTCTACAATAAATCAGTGCCACAAGATTGTTTAATAAATATTTACATGAAATATATAAAGAAGGTTATACAAATTAGGTTATATTGACATTGATGATCTGTTTTATATTAATATTTATGCTCTTTGGTTTGCTACAGGTGAATTATAAATACTACATTTCTTAAAGCAAGGTCTATTTTAATAGCAAGTTTTGAGGTAATTTTCCTGGCATATTTTGTGGCAAGCTTGTTTTTGGAGCACAGCTCTACTCAAAAAATTCTGCATTTACAAAAGTGATATCAAATCTGGTAGCATATTGGAGTCTGATGTCCCTGGAAATAAACCAGCTCTGGAGCCACAGGAACTTCCAGGAATCACTCAGGGTCAGGTAGTTCAATTGTGGCAAATCTTTCATAAAAGCAATGAGGAACCTCAGTAAGTTAATAAGCTTGCAACTCGTCAGATTTTCCACATGCAGTCATGTAGTACATGTGCAATAGAGTGTATTAATAGTACTCCAATGTAACATTTTCCAAGTGTTTTGTAGTAATACTGGTTGGGTCATGTATTTCTAACAAGCATTAATGTTCCTCGGGGAAGACTCAGAGTATAAGTGCCTTACAGTACCATAAAACGTGGAATAATCAAGTCTGTGAAGGACAGGCCACAGTGAAGCTGACAGGAATACGTGATGCTTGTATATTGTAGAACAGGCATTCCCTCTATTTCAATAAGGACTGGAGGAAATTATTTTGAAGAATATGCATTGTATGCATGAAGCAGAATGTAATTTTACATAATGCACAAATTTCCTACTTAATCAACATGTGGCCATGGGGGGGCTTCTGGAACAGAAAAAACCTCAAATTGCTGTTGTCACCCCAAAATCTTTGCCCGGCGTCCTTTGCTCCCCTTGTGTTTATTTTCAATAGCACTTGGCTCTGCACTGAGTTGTTGGACAGTCAGGGCCATGTTCTTTGCCCCAGAGTTTGGAGAAGGAGATGATGGGATGCCACATGGGTACCATTCCCATGAGTTAGTCTTTTGGTGAGAACATCCTAGACTGTGAGCCTGACTTGTGGCTGAGACTGAAGAATTGTGTCTTGACAACGTTTGACTAGTCTGCATGGTGTTATTTAGAGAAATAACCAAAGCCATAGTTTAAAGATGCAGCCAGTTAAGAGAAGTTCTGGTTGAACATAATTTATTTCCATTGATGGACCACAGAGGCAAGGTTGATTTTTCCTTTTATCAGAACTGCTACTGTTCACATGTCTTTAACTGATGGCAGTATTACCTGCCTGTCATTACAGGTAATAGCCAGTGCTGCTGTAAATGATGGAAGGTGTAGCTTAATAGCCCAACAATATCTTTAAATTTCAGCCCCAGACTCAGTCTGATATCTGACCTTGCCCAAATTTGTACCCAAAGTTTGACACTGTCCCCTGCTGCAGGAATGCCCAGGATATCCTTACTCATAGACATTTTTCCTGCTTTGTCTGCAGTTAAGGATGCTTTGGGGCAAGGCTGTGTGTGAAAGCATGGATCTGCAGGTTCACATCTCCTGTGACTCTTGTCTTAGCAGTCTGTTGTCACCTGCCCTGTGGTGGTTCCTGAGCTCTGCAACACCAGAGCACCATCCTAACTTAGAGGGAAACATTCCTCACAGCCCTGGAGCTACAAAATCTTTTAAATCAGGGACTGAAATATTTTGTTCTGTTAAAACTTCATACACACACACTTATACCCTACATATGATGATTTACAAGAACAACTTATGTTTTACAGATTGCATGAACTTCCAAGTATATTTTAATATGGAAAAATTTCAGTTAATATCATAATCCATGTAATGGATTAACATCTGGTTCTGATTTCCCAAACCTCAGCTTCCAAACTCTTCAGAAATTAATGGGAAAGTCAGTAGACAGCTTCAGCACAGAGTGTAGTATTAATTCTTCATGTCTGTTTCATTTTACTTTATTTAGACTTGAAAGATATTCTGTCTTACTGGCATGAGTTCAGAGATCTCCCCTCATCACCCATGAATGGGAACCACATCACTCATATATTATATTATACATCCTCATATATTATAACTCAAAAGAGAATTTTGAGAGAGAACAGCCAGAGAAATTCAGCCCAGTCCATGTCATGAGTTGTATAAAACAGTTCTTGTACTTTCCAGTGGTATGACCTTTTGTTGTTATTTATGACCTACTTGTTAATTGAGATAGTTTAATCAGAGGATTTAGAATTTATTGATTAATAAATTCTGTGTTTCACAGCTGAGCACTTCACTAGGGCTGCAGCCATGACCCAAGCTAGAGGCATGTGCCCCTAGGCTGTGAGACAGCCCTGGCTGTCCCAAGCTGTGCAGAAAGGTGCCTGCATTGGGTCCTGCACATGGGCTGGAACTGGAGTGCCTTCATTCCCTCAGTAAATCAAAAACTATCACACACTGATTCAAAGCACTCCCAAAAAAATGAGCCTTTCAGCTGGTGTCAATAGGATTTCTAGTTTCTTTCCCATTCCTCAGCATCCTTGGGTCCCCAGAGAATATAATCAGGCACAGGAGACTGTAACAATCAAGGCTTGGAGATTATGTAATATCCAGGCACAGCCTTGAGGAGTCATGTTTGCTGACATTAGGTTGACTACAGCTTTACGGTCATTTTACACATGACAGCACGTCGAGTGTGTAAACCTTGCTGGAACAGGAGATTGCCTGTGACTAGCTGCTGTGAAATGGAAATTATTTGTCTGTATCTACGTGCACTGAGAATCATGGCTATTGTTTCCTAGTCATTGCCATTTCTCAAACTTTTTTTTCTAATTTAGTGTAATTTTGTAGTGGAGACAAGACATTAAAGGAGCTCACAGCGCAGGTGTGTGTCAGATCCCCACTTCATCAGTGCCCCCCATCAGCCTCCCATCAGACTGAATGGGCTTCACTTTGAGAGCACAGATCATATTGTATTTTCCTAACTTCAGTAGAATTCATTCCAAGGAAAATCTGTGCTACTGCAGAGGGAAATATTACCCAAGGTTGCTTAGGGTAATAGAAACGAGCTGCCACTGATGTGATTTCTGGTAGACAATCTGTGGATTCAGGTCCCATTTAGGAGAACTGGTGTAGTGTCTGAGCCCTTGGGTTCCTGTGCTTTCAGGGTAACTGTATAGAATATAACAGATGTGCTAGCCTGGCCCTTGCATCACAACAGTTTGGTAAAAATGATTATGCCTGTTGTCATTTATCAGACTTAACAAAGCTATGTAGTTTGTGGTGTAGTTAAATTTTAGTATAGTAATTTAAGTATGGCTTTTAAGCATAGTTTTGCACAAGTTAACTACATTTTGATTTAAACTAGCATAGAAAAATTGAAAATGCTTTGACCTATTTTTTTTTGACTGAAATCAAACGTTCCTGTATGGTCCATAACTTGACCACTCTGTGTGTCACAAGAAAACCAGAAATGTTCCATTTTAATTTTTTGTTATATTCTATTTCATATGACTTGAAGTGCAGTAAAGATTAGGATAAACAGACCTTATGCAACATAACATCCAAGTACAGAACATTTTATAAGACAAAAGGAACAAAGACTCCCACTGAAAACCTGCCGGTGTCAAATAATCATTTATTTTGCTGTTGTTGACTTGTCCCTGCCTTAATGACAGGGGCTTAGCTACAGGAAACAATATTCCAACAAATGCTTGTGAAATTCCTGTATAATTCCTGTCACATCAAAAGCCTGTGTGGAACTGTGTGCTTTTGGCTTCACTGCTCTTTTTTTCTCACACATACAGAAACAATACATGAGGAAGTATTTATGCTTATCAAGAAAGAAGGCTACTTTGATTTGCAAACACAGCACATCAATGAATTCTAAACTGCAGGTCTGAAGTTTCGGTGAATTTCAGGGCTGATGTCAAATATTGTGCTCAAGAGCTTTTTCATCATGCCCTCCATGTTCCTGTGGTAGCTGCTTGTGAGGTTTCGGATGGCTTCTGTTGTTTGCTCTTCTATTTTGGCAGAGAGGTTACCCTGGGAGCCCATTACCTGAAAAGCAGAAGAGCTCTGAGCAAAATGAGAGGCTATATATAACCATGTTTATTGTACTTTTCTTCATTATGTAGCACAAGCATTACACAAACATATCACAGTGCTTCCAAACAGTGAGGGTTTGATCTGGGTTCAACTGTAGGCATAAAAACAGGATTAAAGGCAACTCTCATATGCTCATTAGCAATGGGAATCTCCCTATGTAATGAAAGTTTCCCAGCTCACTATGGGAAAAACATTGTGTATGTTTTGTCTTTTATATGGCTCATTTTAATTTGTTTTCTATTTGAATGACTAGGCAGCTAAGTTCTATCAGTGTGTGCCTTCGTTTGGCCTCCCTGAGAATGCCTGTGAGTGCAGCTAAGGAACAAACATGGAAAAACCTTCCTGAAAATGCATAATTATAGTTTTAGAGTACTTGAAATGTCTTCAGCAGTTAGTGATGTATAACCCTCAACAGGCCTCAGACAAGGTCTTTTAATGTTACATTTTCTTATCTGGCGAAATACCAGACAGCTTCTGGCACAGTTAATATCAGGACATTCGGTTAGAATTTAATTGACTCTAGACTCACTGAACATTTTAGCAAGGTTATGTTATAAACAGATGCACACGTTCCAAATCTGTGACTTTGCTCCCTCCTCCCCCATTGCCCCAACATCCCTCGAATTCTTCCCTTATGGAAAAGTCCTTCGGATACCAGCATAGAAATTGATTTCCAGCTAAAGAATTCCATGTGGAGAGAAGAAGACATTTCTGCATGCTGGCAGAATAAAAAAGGAATAAGTAAAATATTGTTCTTGTTCCTGCCACGGTTCTCTGGGGTAAGCTAGCAGGTGGAGCTAACCTGTGGTACATTAGTGGGGTACCTAGAGCATGACCAGAAACAAGGGAGGGGTCATTAACTCTATTTTCCGTGTGGTTTCAGCACAACTTAGTCCTTAAAAGAAGGAAAAGCATATTTTGCATAGGTCACCTTCCCTGTTCTGTTTATCAGTACCTGGCAACATAATAAGACATTTGCCCATAATCCACATGTACACCATTTTCCAATTTGGAAGAAATGTAGGTTATAGACATAATAATAAGTATTGGGAAAAGATTATAGTTTTCTATAATAACTATTTTTAGCTGACATTTTATTTTAACTTCTAGAAAAGTTGCAAGGGTTGCGTGTGGGAAAGGTTGTACAGCTTAGACCAGATTTATGGAACTGAATTTTTCCACTGGGGAAAGTAACCTTCTTGAGATCCCAGAGGATTGCATGTTATCCAGCACATCTGAAAAGCATCAAGAAAAGTATTATAATTTTAAGAAGAGCCTCTGCAGACTTCTTTCTCAGCTCATGCTAATGTCATTTGAGATAGTAAACTCTTACTCTTCTATGTGTTTTTCCCTCTCTTCTTCAGCTTCTGAATTTGAGGCCCTTTTTCTCACAGAATGCAGGCAATGCTCTGCTTAGTTTATGATTTCTGCTGACCTTGAAGGTTTTCCCCTTATTTTTCCCATATAGGTTTTATGCTAATGTAATTTCAAAGCTGCTAAAATATTATATTGGCTCAGAAGCCACAAAATTCAGAACTAGACTGCACATCTCCAGAGCTGGGTGACCTCAGACAATGAGTGAAAAAACAATTGGTTTGAGATCCAGGCAAAAAAAAATTGCATGTTTTGAAAAAAGATTTTGCATATTGCATAACCTCAATCTTTATTTTTTATGTTGTTGTTCTTAATTCTGGATAGATATGAAGCCTCTCATAGTATGAGGAAATTTGCTCCTGTTTGGATAAAAGTGGCACAAAGTAGGAGGAAGAATGGCATTAGAGGAGACTGTGACAGAGAATTAAAAATATTTGTGTTTAAATGCCCGAGAAAGTCAACTGAACCGGGCATCAGAGCTCCCTCTGCGCTGGCTTTGCTGGAGCTCCTGACTGCCTTCCAGACACAGGTTAATAATGATGCCATTTGTCTGGGTAGGTGAATGTTCGACATTTTGGGGGTCAGGGAACGTGGAGGAGGACTGCAATGATCTTGTATAACATGCTGTCATTTGAGGAGCAATATGTGCTTTGTCCTGCTCATGTGAAATGTTCTGTCAACAAATTGTGGCCTTTCCTGCAGCTTTAATTTGGTTGTGATGAAAAAACGGAGTTCACAAAGAAGTAACATCTTTACTCTTCTGCTATCAAGACCTAGAACAAGAAGTCTGGCTTGACTGAAAAGGTGAACAAATATTAGAGGTGTTTATACTTTATTTTGGTGTCAGTAAACAACTGAAACTGTACATTTGAGACATTTCTATCTGGCCTGTCTTTGTGATAGTGTGTCTGGGGGTTAGCAGGGTATGATACCAACACTTTGTGTGTATAGATGTTCCTATGGCTTGTGAGCCCTGCTGGAAAATGTTTTATGTGAAGTGTGGCTGAAATGACAGGTTGGTAGAACAGATTTTGTTTGATCTCTTTGGCTTTTTTTTTTTCTTTTTTTGTGTCTGCTTTTGCACAAGTACTTTCCTTGTCTTTGCATGATACAACCTGGGGGAGAAAACAAGACCAAGAATATAAAAGGAAAGTCACCTGGTAAAAAGAGAATGGTTTGTGAATTTAATGGAAATACTAAAGAAAAATGCAAGCTACTATAAACATATTAAACAGCTTTATTCAGATAGGAAAATATCGAGTCAGACCACTTTTGCTATAGAAACAGTGAAAAACTCCAAAGTTTTGGTGACTTCAGTTGACAAGGGATGTGGTCTTATATGTAATGAAAAGAGACAGCTAAAGTGGAACAGAAATGGAAAGAAACATTTTAAACTTTTGCTTTTACTGACACATCCACCTTTCTGAATCCTCCAGTTTCAAGACAGGAACTAGGTCTGTCTGTGGTTATAGAAAAAGGACCCAAAATATTTTCCTTAAGGGAAATAATATCTTCAAAGCATAAGCATGAACCAAATATGGAATCTGGACCATTTTAGTGGTGAATGTCCTCAATTTCTTCTACAAATGCATTCAAAGCCTGTGAAAAAAGTCCAAATGAAGCATGTAGACACTGTAGATGATACCCCTGTGTTTCATCAGTATGACCACATTGGTTTGCAGAAGTCTCCAGGTAGTACTCTTGGAAACAATTTGGTTTACCATTGAGCATTTGGTAAGACAAAAGAACACATGCAGGTTTCTTACTTACATTTGTTTCCTTGTTTCTAAATTCCTTCTCCCGTTGTAGTCTGTAGTGGTCTATCTCGGCTGTGGCTTCTTCCTTGGCCTGCTTCAGCCTTTTACCCTTTCCTAGAGGGGGAAGGAAGAGGCATTTATTTCATACCTTCCCTATATCCCCAAAGATGAAGCTCTCCAAATCAGAGATATTGTAGCTGCCATACCAGAGCACTGACTTTGCTGAAAGTCTTGTCCATTGGATTTATTTGCACAAGAATGGTCAGAAGAGATGAAGTGATTTACTTAAAACACTTTTTGACTGCTAGCCAGTCATGCAAGTACCCCTCCTCTGAGACCAGCTTCCTTTGCAGAAGCACACATCAGGTGAATAGCTTCTTGGTTTGCTGACAACAGAAGTCTTTCTGCAAGTAGACATCTTCCCACAACACAAATGCCTTTTTTTCCAATCACAGCCTGGTGTTTAAATAAATATCTATCTTTTCTTCATCAGCAATATTAGCAGCCAGATAACAGATTTTAGTTGTCACGGATGGGAAAAGATGTTATTCTGTAAGATTTCCTGTATTGATTGGTTGCCAGAATCCCTTCATCCCACACCAACTGGATTCTGCTTAGAGCTGGCAGATATCCAAAATAATGCAAGATGTCTTAACCACTACCAAACTGAGTTGCAACTTTCAGGGTTTGTCTTTTCTTCCCCCACCCTTTTCTACCAACCTTTGTTAAATGCAGAGCTGAGTGATTAAGAGAAGGAGGTCAATTCTTTGCCAGTGCACAGAAACCATGGAAGGGATTAATATTTTTTTTCTTTTCATTTTAAACATGAAGGTGATCTGTAAGGTGACACTTGGGATGTACTGGAAACTAGACCCTTCCTCCTCACCAGGCTTGCTTACATAGCTAATTTTGTTTGCTGTGTATAGTTTGTTTTAGGTAAAACGCTATGGGCTTGTCAAATCAATAGCATGTAAGTCATTGCAGGACTGGACATAAGGTCCTTCCTGGATCTAGCAGGGCTGTCATGTAAAGAATAAGGGTATATGGTTTGATGGAAATGTGATGTTTAAGGTTTTACATGAAGGAGCTGGCCAGCGTGTCATAAACCCCCTATGGGCTTCTCTGTCATTTATAAAATCAGTAAAGTTGCATGGATCTCCTCAGGATTCTGCTACACTGCCTTGTGAGGAAACAGTAATTTTCTAACTGTAAACCTCTTGCATGGAATGTTGGTATGCTATACTTGAGACATCAGCTGATGCTGATTTTTGGGGTCTCTTTCTGCTGTACAGCTAGAATTTTAGGACTGGGGGGAATAAGGTTCCTCGCTTTTCTTAACAGAAGTATCTTCAGTGACTGAAAAATTGCTTAGTTGCTTAAATTAGGATATCACAAGAATGTGAGAGTGGCGGCCTAGGCAGCTGAAAGAGCCATCTTGATCTCTTGTGGCACATTGATTTATTTACTTATGGTAACAACCTATTTAACACCTCTGAGCAATAAGAACTTTTTTTTTTTTTTTTTTTTTTTTTTTTTTAGGCTCTTAATTCAAGCACAGAAGACAGAAGATACCTTTCCTCCTTTCCTGAAATCCTGGGTAACATTCTCTGTCTAGGCTAGGAAGACGAACGTAAATATTTTGGTTTGGTTACATCTGAGCTGGGCTTCTCAAGCCTTACCAGGTGTGTCATATAGCAACTTGCTTCCACTGTACATGGCATAACAAGGAAGGTGAAACTTGGGAGGAAGACTGCTTTAATACACCTGAGATTCAGCAAGAGCCTGGGTAAACTACCTGATTCATCAGGAAATTACTTCTCCAGCCAATTGCTCCTTCCAAAATAATTATCTGCAGATGGGTGAGTAGAAGCAGAGAGATGCACAAAATAGGAATGACATTTTAAGACTTGATTCCTGGACTGTTGGCTTATTGTGGAACATTGAGGTGACATGTACACAGGCTTTTAACAGGAAGGAGCAGCCTACCGAGGAACTAGATAGCTTCATTGATTCCCAGCCCATCAGTGCAGGGCTCTTGTGTGTGGGAAATTATACTTCTCAGAGTCCTTCTCCTACTGAGCACTGTGAGTATGTATAAAGTGGAAAGAGGCTGTTTTAAACCTTGTGGGTACTTTCCCAGAGTTTGTATTTGTTTGAAAAAGGCTGATTTCACCCAGCATCTGCCACTCACTGTCTGTAGTGTTGGGACCAGGATGAGTGAACTGACAGATCTGTGTAAGAGCCTGACATAAGTCTGGACAACAAAATTTGGAACCAGGTTCAGGTCTGTATTTTGAAGTTTCCCTTATTCTCCTCTCCAAATTTGGAGCTGATCAGCCTTTTGTAGAGTTTCCACTCTGTAGGAGTGGAGCCGGAGGGTGATTCTCTGGAGCTGGCAGTCAGAGGGAGTGACTATAATGAAGCTTTGCCAATTTCACCAGCTGAGGAACTGGATCTCTATAGCAAATTAAATTATTTCAAAATCAGTGGGATTTTAATTTCAAATTCCATCTGGGGGGCCATCTGTAGTAAATATGTTGCATATTTGGCCACCAGATAGATAAATATAACCACTTAAAACACACAAAATGGAAAGAGATTGACTATAAAATAACAGTTCAGTTGCCTCTGACAATGTAGATGGTGAACTTTTAAAAAGTATATATATACACGTGTCAGCTCTTGACAGTGCTCTGGAGTAAGCACAATACATAGGGTGTCACTGTGGCAATACATAGGGTGGCAGCCATTTCATTTCTCTATGATGCCTTTAGGATTGGCACAGCAGGAACCTGCTGCTTCCTATTTAATTAAGTGGAAAAGCTGTGAGTAAATTACTGCTAGTCCAACAACGTTGTGGACAGAATCGGCAACTGCCAACATATGCGCTGGTGCATATGCTGCACCTGATTAAGTTAAGCAGAAACTAGAGCTTAACCTGCTGTTCCACTAGGGACAAACCAAAATTAATTAATCAGTCTGTTGTTAACCACTTGTCTGCTACTGTAGTCGTGCAATACAGGACTGCCTTTTCAAAGCCTTACTGATCTGCTGGGCTGGGTTCTCTGCAGAGCACAGCCAAGCTGAAATCAACCCTTACACATTGAAGGGTGGTGGAGCACTGAAATTCAGCCAAAATCATGCAAAAAGAGGACAAGAAGTGCAGGAGGATAGGAAAAGCAGCCTATCCCTTTGATATTTCATCAGGATCATAGAGATGAGGTACAGAAAGTCCCAAGTTTGAAGAGATTTTACCACAAAGGTCATGCTGTGGGGGCCAGGATTGCTGCTGGCTCTCTGTCTCTCCTTCCATCCTTGAAGAGAAGCAAAGCAGCAGTGCTGGGCCTGGTTTCCTTGTCCACAGCCTATAAATTTTTAGGCATCATTTTAAATTGGCCAAATTTTAAAAAACTTGCTGTGATCAGTCTGTACCACATAGGATTTTCTTGCCTAACATGGGAAGGTGTTATTAGCATGGAGAAAGGGTGTATTCTTCTTTCTAGGTATTTCTGTGATGTTAATGAAACATTTTGCTCTGGTTAGATCCGCAAGAATTGGTGTCTTCTAGGTTGGAGTTTTTTAGGTCTTGTAGGAAAGACAGTAGGAGTCAAAAACATTGCATTCTAATTTGTTCAACCACTAAGTTATCTTACTTTCCAAAAACTGCAATGCTAAACTTAGAGTTTTGTTTTCAAACATATAATTTAGGCTTCTAGCTGAATTTCTGCATAGAAATCAAGTCATTTGAAGAAGTTGCCAAAAAATAACAATATTTTCTTAAAATAGAACCATTCCAGTTGTCTTTGCTAAATTGTCTGGAAAATGGGATTTGGAGATCTGCATTGTGAGAAAACTATTTTGTACTTTTAATAAAAGAGAATAGAGGCAGCTGAGCATAATATATAGCTTTCTCAGTAGATAAAATATGTCTTGGATATTATCCAAGAGAGTGCCATGGATATAATTCTGCTTACAATATCTTAGTTTGATTAACATTTGGTTTTAATCTGATTTTCTATAATCTTTCATCTGAGTTTTCTTTTTATTAGGCATGAGAAATTCAAGGGAAGATATAAAAATCTATAGGAGAATGAGTTTTGCTAAGCCCAGTGTTCATGACACATTTGTTTCTCTTGTTTTACCCAAAAGGATTTTTAGGAATTGTTGTCTTGGTGCTGACAATGCTCAGTTATTTCTGGGATTCAAATGGTGCATAAAGTAAAAATGATAGCACTATGTTCAAATGGTCAAAGGACTGCAGACTGGTTTGGCTTGTGCTTAATCAATCTAATAATTATAGCCTTGCATTCGTTCATTTAAATTTTTAAAGTATTAATATTTTTTCAGGTATAAATTATATCAGCTAATGATATCATGTCAGGAAAAATGGTATTGAGCAAGAAGTAAGACAAAGCATGTATAGAGGAGCTTTAGCATTATATTTTTGCTTTGTTTTGTGTGTATCAATATAATTTTATTCACTAATTTTTTCAGTTACTTCAAGTGGCTTTTGCATTACCAACAACTGCACATATGTCAGCAAAACCTAGGCCCATTAACTGTTTATATACAATATTATGTGTGTTCACACTACATTTTGATTGGTTATGTGAGTATCAACTGTAAACACGGAAGGCTTTGCATCAGGGTAGTTTTGTTAGTCACATTTCCTTGCAAATGCCTTTCCCTGGTGTGTCCCATGAGAAGCTGCCAGCTGATGTCCCAGTGCCAGCACAGCAGCCGGACCCATCGGTGCAGGGGTGTTGTGCAATGTCTGCCTGGGGTGACAAAGGAGGTCACAGGGCTGGGAGGGTTCAGTGCTTCCCCTGGCAGCCCAGACCTGCAGGGTGCAGGCTCTGAGCAGCAGCTGCTGATCCCAGCTGCTGCTGGGTGGATCTGAGCTGCCCATTCTGGGGTGAAGCAGCACCTCCCTCCTTGCTTCAGCTGTGCATGCACAGGTCAGCCAGCTGCACTGCACAGATCTGTTGCATTTCATGCATTGCCTTTCAGCTTGGCTTTTATGGCCAGAGACAAACTGCAATCCTTTGTTTTGATCTAACTGCTGAAGTAATCCCAATTTAGAATAGCCAGATTTGCCTCTAAAAGAATCCCTTTTGCCCTTGTCTCAATGCTGGCATAGTTACCTAAGGTGGTGCAGTGGCAGTGCTATGAAAAAGACTTAAATTAGGCACAACATGGAAATTTAAATTTTGTTTTGTAGCTTCATTGCAAACTTCTTGCAATGTTGAATATAATGGTTGTCTAGGTTGAATATAATTATGCTGGTAGATTACCTATAATGCTTGGTTTAGAACAAAATCCAGGGTGGATTTATTTAAACAGTTTGCCCTTGATCTGCTAATTTTAGAAATTCTAGAGGTTTTTCATAGAATTACACCGAAGTGCTGAGGCTAGAAGGAGCCTATAGGATATACTTCCTGGTGAAAGCAAGGGCAGCTTGATTGGGGCCATATCTGGGGGGTTTTGAATGTCTCTGAGAATGGAGATTCCCCAGCTCTGGGCAGCCTGTTCCTCCCTTGCAGTCACTGGGTTGTTTTCTTATGTTTAAATTTGTGTTTTGAAATTTTAATTTGCCTTAATAATTTTTATAAATTAAAAAAAAAGTTATCTTAAAAGTAATAGAAAAGAAAGTCATAGTGGTTATATATTTTTACTCTGAATAATTTTACTGATAGCAAAATTCTTAATAGCTATTTTTTCCGTAGCTGGTTAATAACTCCTACTAATGTGTTAGTGTTGAGGTAAACACTGCTACTGGTTTAATTCAAGTTTCTGACTCAGAGGGGTCTGAAGATACTTTATCTGTAAGAAATCCTGTTATTATCACAAGCACTCCAATTGAGGCTGAGGTGATGACAAGGGAGTGTGTCTTTTGCAGAGTAGAGCAAATGCAACCATAACTGTGTCTGGATTCTGCAATTCATTCATCTCTGCTCATCACTTTTATGTTATAATTATTATTTTCATTTTTGGAGTTCCTTTATTTATGAAATATTTTGGAGTTCCTTTACTTATTTATTTCTGACTGTTACAGAAAAAGCTAAAGCAACTCTTCTGGTTTTAAAAACAAACATAAATGAAATTAAGCAACAACAACAACAACAAAAAAAAACCCAAACCCAAAAGTAATCCACTTCAAGCTAAGGCCTGATTCTGCAGTCTGTGTTCAGGTCAAACTCCTTCTCCTTCCACTGAGGCTGTGCCTTTCCAGGTTGTGTGCTATCTTGCTTTGAGGGAACCGTGTGTTTCCTCTGCCCTACATGGCAAGGGGAAAAGCATCCCTCCCAGAGCTCCTAGCTGGGCTGTGTAAGAGGTCAAAACACTACTTAACTATCCCTTGCCTTCAGGTTTCTGCCTGAGGGAGTTCTGTTTTATGAAGGTGGGATGATTTGCTTTAATCTCTATTGTGTTTGCATGGCACAGGCAGTGCCTGGGTGCTTAGGGAGGGAACTTGCCTTTTACTTATTTTGTGTGCTGCTGTACAAATTGACACGTCACACTAAAAATTAATGAGCACACAACAATGCTGATTCATGTGTAGAAGGGATATGGAAACTACACAAATTATTCTGTTTAGCCTCCATTCCTCCCTGTAAAACAAAATATATTCCTTTAATCGTGCTCTTGCTCCACATGGCATCATTGTCATCCATTTTCTTTGCATTCTGCTGCTGGTTTCTGAAACAAGATCACTCCAAAAAAAACCAGTATTAATGTTTCAATGCTAGTGCAGGTCAATGACTCATGTGGCTGTACCTGCACTCAGGAGAATAATTACTTGTACCATGTAATAAAAATTCTGTTAATGATCTATTACAGTACTGAGAGTGCTCACAGTTTTACTTTGACTTTGATTACTGTCAGGGTGCTGAAGTCTTCCCTTAGTTTTCATATAATTTTTTGAAGCTCAGCTTCAATTAGGAGACAAGTTACTGGATTTTGCAAGTAAAGAGGAACAGTGAAGAATCTTAGCAAGACCTATTAAGAAAAAGAATAGGTTTGGAATCTGGTCCTTCAGAGCTAGCAGCCAAAGGCATGTAGGATTTTAATTTAAGTAGCAAGGCAGTAATGGCATTATCAATACTGAGCTAAAGGAAGAACAAAAAGGATGAATATAACAAAGAAAATATTTTTAATGTAATGAGGCACAAATACATGTAGGCACACCTGGGATTTTAAGCAAACTCTGAATGTTCAGGTTTGAGTTAATGCCTGCCTGCAGTCAAGGCACAGCACTCGTGCATGCATACAGATGAAATAACCTTTTTCTGTGAGCTACTGTAATTCTGAAGGGCTTGCACTTAAGAAGTACAGTAAAACCAGGCCAACTACTTACTTTTTTTGGCTTCCTCCAGTTTGTCCTTGGCACGTTTTTCTGCCTGCAAAAGCTGCTGGATTCCCTGAGACTGGCTGGTCATGCTGATTGCTGGGGCTGGTGAACTTCTGTGGAGACTGGAACTCAGAGGGAGTTTTATACAGCTGCCAGGCTTTTCCTTGAGTTTTTTGTTCTGTGTGTTATTGCAACAAGCTTCCAGATTGTACCAACCCATCCGGCTGTGCCTGGATTGCTGCTGGGCACACAGGCCTGCGAGTGAGGCAGAAAAACAGCAGCCAGGCTGAAGGGAATGTCCTCCTCTCCTCAGGGTCACTGAGAACTTGAAGTCTCTGATTAACACATTGGGGCAAAAAACAGCGCTTCAAATGGCTTGTATTTTAGTGGAGATTTTTTCTTTATTTTTGGCTCTTATTCCTGAAGCAGAATACAGTTAATCTTGTCTAGGAACTGAGGAAAATACTTTCTTGGCATTACCTTTAAATAAAACTTCCCCTCAAAGTGAAGAATCAGGCTCAGTCAACAACTAATTTTGGTTGAACACCAAGAACTATTTGTAGGCTTCTGTTTAGTGTTACTTCTTAACACTACTTATTAGGGGTTTCACTTAAAAAAAATCAATAGGAATTAATTCATTGGGGGCTAAAGTTTAAAGAATCATGTAGTGATTCGGGTATACGCTACCTTGTAATCTGCTGTGATGGAGGTGAGTGGAGATCAGATGGACTGAGAAACTGTGGAATTAGCTCTAAGATCCAGACTCTTGCCAGGTATGAATGGTGGGCTAGGTTTCACTCTCAAGTCATAATGCATACAAAAGTCAAATGAATGCCTGGGCATGGCTGTAAATGCACATCCCATTCCCTACAGAAGGAAAGACTGGTTTGTGAGTTACTGCATGGATAAACAGCATGTTCATCTTCTGAATCCTCATTAAAAAACCCAAAAAAGCCCACTTGCTACAGGTACTTAAGCCATTGCATAGCAGAGGGACATGTCACATTGCATAATTAAAATAGATTTATTTTTTGTAACAAAAAAAACCTCGCAGCATGAGTAAAGTATATTTATTACAGGTTCTTGATAGAGCTCTGCCAGGACTGGAGAGCACCTCCTGACATAAATGTTTTTTTTTTGTGCTGCAATTTTATATACATAATTTCATATTTATACACATTATATGATTTCTGCATATATTATATATAAAATACATTTATATACAAATTATTTGGTGCTCTCTGTTAGTGGTTTTTATTCTAGAGTCCTTTGCTTTCTGGGGCTTCCCAGGGCAGCTGTGTCATGCTGCTACTATGCTGTGCTAGGCTGTTACCTGATCTTGATAAGAAAATGTGTACTACTGCTATGAAGTCTTTTTTTCCCTGCCAAATAGTTGTAGGTTTGAGAGAAAATGGAAGGAGAAGCATCTTGCCCTATTAGTGTCTTTGGCAGTGCCCTGAATGACAGCAGCACTGAGACCTGGAAAAGAAATTTGTTTTGTTTTCTATTCTGTGCTATTGCAAAGTCAAATTTCACTCATGCTGAGTGAAATTTCACATCAACCACTGAGTTTATTTCTTCATCCAGAAGCTGTGTGAGATGCTTGCTCATCTTCAGCACTGAAATCAGAGGTTCACTCGAACTGCAGGACAGCAGACATGGCACTGTTTTTAGAAGATTTTAATGCATAGCCTTGAAGTTTATTTTATTCAGACACAGAAGAAGTGATGATCAATTCTATAGAAAATGTGGAAACTGTAGGGTTAGGAAGCCATTTGCCACTGTGATTCAACTACAAGTGATATTACTGGCAAAGAAAAGCAGAAGTGGAAAATGAAAGTAAAAAATGAAGAGATCTGGCTTACTTGGGGCAGGAAACTTGAGCTTAGAACTTTAAAGCAGAAGTTACTTAAAAATTAAATAGGAAGTGGAAATGTCAGGCTTGTCTCAGACATCAAAAGTATGACACTTTTCAGGCAAAGGGTCTTGTCAAGCAAATCTCACTGCTGCGAGAAATGTTACAAAACTATGGGCAAATTAAACTGCTTCAGTTTCTGGACTTGGCTGAAAGCATTATGGGTGAGACCCTTTGAATTTTCAGAGCAGTTCTCAATTCTATATTTATAGTATTTGGGCGTCACTAATGATCTGAATTTTGATATTTACAATCTATTAATTAATATTTAACAGAAAATGGTTATATATGATTAATTTTTATGGGAAAATACACAATCTTCAAGAAACTATAAAGTTCTTCCATTGTGAAAAAAAAATAATATATTCCTTATGCAGATCATTTGAGCTGCACATATCACAGTTCACACTTTTAATATTTTTCTGAATTAAAAAAAAAGTCTCAGTTTATAATTTTCCTTGTGGCTGGTTTCCATACAGTGGGGCGGCATGCCATGCTGGCCCTCATGGCATCAGGCAGGTACTAGTGGACATCTGCAGGGGAGAAGATGATAATTTATTTTGGCTGGTGCTTATACACATTTTGTTAGACTCCACACGATGTACTGCCACTTAGAAGTAATTTCAAAGCTTGTCTGATGATGTTGGTGATGACCTCAGACTATGCATAGCACCTCTATACACCCCACCTCATGGATAATTCATTAAAATAAAGTAGGTTAAGCTATGGACTGGCCAAACAGGCTCCTACTTCATCACAAAAACCAGTAGGAAACTTCTCTGTGTCGTAGTTGCTGGCTTTCTTTCCAAGTCAGCTCCAGACTCATTTAATTAGAAAAGAGAAGCTGATGTGGTGACTGGTGATGGGGGCAGGAGAGGTGTTACCAAAGCAAGAGAGGGCAGAGAAAGGGTTTTTTTTTGGTTTTTTTTTTTTTTTTTTTTTAAAGTCTCCTTTTTCTTCTCAGCATTTGTCTATCTATCTTGGCCTCCAGAATTTCCTGAGCATTTTCTGGTTATCCCAACTGACAGAAAGGGAAAAATGGGCTCAGTTCTGGCATTCTTACTCCTTCAAAGAAAAGCTGTAGAACAAGAGCTCTTGAAGAGTGTTACAAGGGATAAGAGACCTGCTGAGCTCTCCCTGCTGACCCACAGCTTGAACAGCAGAAACACTCTAAATCAGGCATTTTGAGTTTAGATGCAGGCTGTGCAGCTGCTGTTTTATCTCTGCAGTGGGAAGGCCAGGGCCAGTGGCTGAATTCATCCCAGGTAATTCAGATTATTTGGAAAAATCTGCTTGCTGTAACTCAGATTGAGCCTTTTCTAGCACGAGTTTACCACCTTCTCAATCCACCTACTACTGAGCAGTAAGGGTAGTGCTTTGGCATCCTTTTTTTGCAGTCTAAGTGTGCACAGACTCTCCTGTATGTAGGAGGGCAGCAGGCAAGAGTTTCCACTGAAATGTGTTTAACAGGAAGGTCTCCCATGCATTGTTTCTGTGGCTGTACTTCCCAAGGCACACACTTTTTAAATCTCTCTTTTTTAATATAATTATGAACAGCATTCTTTCCAAATGAGCTGCTATGACTGCTAAGTAGCACACTCTGTTCAGGCTGCAGCTTCGAAGCAGCGACGTTGATTCACCGATAAAGCCTTAAGATGAGCAGTGTGTCAGGCAGGGCAGCTGCCTTGGGTGCTTTCATGGGTCTGTGTGCCTTTTGTTTTGTTGCTCTAGAAAGGCCCAAGCGAGGAAAAGCAGGGTGCACACCTGCATGGCTTCCTGCACCACGGTGGGGACTGCTCCTTGTGAAAACAGAGCACTTTCTGATGCAGTAGCATCTGTCATGCTGAGAAACAGTGGTGGGCTCCTGTTAGCATCAATAGCAAAAGATCTTTGTACAAAAATTGGTAAGTATGCAGTGAAAGCCATCACACATATCTGAAAATCCTGGCCTTTTCTCTCTGAATTATAGAACCCTGTTTGTTTACATTCGAAGAAAAAGTTATGAACTTTGCACTGAAGTTGTAATTATGACTGTAAGCTAAGATTCTTGCTGCAGCCATTTTCTGACACTGACAGTTTCACTCTGTTGACATCACCACAGTTGACCTCAGCAGCCTGAATTTCACCCATTGGCCTGAAAAATATGGGAACAAAAAGGTATGCAGAGATGAATAAATATTAAAATATTGCTCAAGGCAGCTTGCTGCCACACTGTCTGGGTGAGCTTATTGACTGCTGGCCAAGTCTGCAACACAGCCCCAGCTTCAGCTGGTGTAGCACTCTGATGACCCTCTATTGAACACATACTTTAAACCAGCTCATATTTTTTCCTAAATTTGGCCTGTGTCTTAATGGATGTAATTTTTTTTTGCAACCATAGGGGATTTCATGTTCAGAGACAGCCAGTGTAAGCTGTATATTTAATTAATTTTCCTGAAGATTTCTTCAACATCCAGGAGAAAAGTTAAGAATAAAAAAAATGTCCTTTTTCATAAATCTCACTATCCATGTGAAAATTCAGGTAGAGCAAATATTCATTTTTAAAAAGTGCAAAAGAAAAAGCAGCAGTAAAAAAGCACCATAGTTTCTGTGTCTGTAACTTCCAGGTTAATTTATAATTTCACTGTCATTATGGTAGTGGTTATTTCCTATTCTCAGTTTATGGTGTGATCATCTCAGCTGGCAAATCCCCACCCAGCAGATCACATTCTTCCACACAGTGGCACGGGGGAAAGAATCAGAATAGCAACAGTGAGAAAACTTGTGGGTCAAGGTATAAAAGCAGTTTTAAAAATGAGGGGAAAGGGCAGGGGAACACAAACTGATGCAAAAGGAGTCACTTCTCACCTCCCACAAGCAGACTAGTGCCTAGTCAGCCTCAAAGAGGGCGTACTGAGGAAGGGCAAACCCCAGCTCTGTGGCTGAGCCTGGCAGCACCCCTTTGGTCAGCCCGTGGTGCTGTCCTGGCGGTGCCCACTCCCAGCCTCCTGCCAGCCCTGTGGGGCACAGAGCTGAGGAGCAGAGAAAGACTTAACACCCTGCAAGCCCTGTTCAGCAACACCTCCAGCACTGGTGTGCTATCAGCACCATTTTAGTTGCAAGCTGGCAAGGTGCAGGTTGTGATGAAGCAATGAACTCGATCACAGCCAGCCCCAGCACACAGCTTCATTTCAAGGAGTTTTCTTTTTTTTCCTCAGTGCAACTATTTGCTGTCTTCTTTCCCATCCTTCTGCACCATGATAGTGTCTCCTCCCTTACTACATCTCTCTCTGAGTCTTCACATTGCTGCCTTTCCCAAAAGAAGTTTGTAACATCATCAGTATATTTGTGCACCCAGGCGGGCAGGGAGGGGAAGTGGGGAGCCATGTAAGTATATTTTGAACTGTGTAGGCTAACCAACAACTCATATCCGTGTCACAGCTCAACACTCACTTGAAGAAAACTGAGTGTACTATAACAGAAAAGTTCAGCTCTGTCTCAAATTAGACTTAACCAGACAAACAAAGATACCACAAAGAAAACAGTTCAACTTTGCAGCCTAGAGGAGCTGAACCTGTGGTCCTCTGCATTGTACTTAAGTGCTGTTGCTTTGTGTATAGCTTAAGGTTGTTTAATCAATTTCCTAACTTGTAACAAAATTTTAATTTTCTACACAGTCATTTCATTGCATTTCATTCCAGCTCTGAGCCAACATCAGCTTAAACTAAAAGTGAGAAAAAGGAATAAGAATTTCCTTTCTTGTAGTGAAAATATTAATACCTCAATAGGAAGAAGGATGGCTTTATTTGGAAAGGTAAGAGAGAAAAGATGGAATGGAAAAAAATGAGAAATACTGGCAACCTTCCCCTTAAGATTAGAGTAGAAATTGCTTCAGCTAAAGCAGTCTGTAAATTTTCCTGATGTTATTCTGATACAATTCTGAAGGTGAATAGGGTGTTTTTTTCCTTACTTTCTAAAATCAACTTTTAATTAGTGGTCCTAAACACTAACGTGTATATGTATTTATGTTATTACATATGTGTATTGAGATTTAAAAATTTCTACTCCACCACTTTCCAGTGACCTCAAGGATTTTTGGTATAATTAAAAAAATAAAAATTGAACTTATCCTCCCTTCATAAAAGGAATCAGAACATTAACTAATTTTAGCCTATCCACCACTTTACATCACGTCTCTGGTATTTCTGTTCCTTGTTTCTCTTGCTTGTCATGTGGCTGTGAGAGTAGTGAGTCTTGTCTCAGGCAGTTCCTCATTTTAGAGGGGGAAGGACTTTTATTGCCAAACCTTTGTGCAGTGCACTTTTTTTTTTTTTTTTTTTTTTTCCATTATCTTGGTAGCTCGTAGGGACTTGGGTTTTCCTCTGCAGAAGGTAATTCTGCTGGTGAGGATTTCTTTATGTTTTAATGTAGAGCCTCTTACAGGCTTGAGAAGGTGAGAATCCACGCTTAGTTGTGCTCTTCTTTCCAACACTTCACTAGCCGGTACCGCAGAGCCGGTGAGGCTGAGCACCATTACAGCGCGTTAAACACGCCCGGCAGCGCGGCTGCGCTTCCCGCCCTCCTTCCCCTGCCCTGGGCTGGGCTGCTGGGAGCAGCAGGCAGGGAAGGCAGGGGCAGTCAGGGAAGGCAGGAGCCCGCAGGGAAGGCAGGGGCAGTCAGGGAAGGCAGGAGCCCGCAGGGAAGGCAGGGGCAGGCAGGGAAGGCAGGAGCCCGCAGGGAAGGCAGCAGCAGGCAGGGAAGGCAGCAGCCCGCAGGGAAGGCAGGAGCCCGCAGGGAAGGCAGGGGCAGTCAGGGAAGGCAGGAGCCCGCAGGGAAGGCAGAGCCGCGGCTGCGGGCGCCGGGACCCGGCCGGCAGCGGGGCCGCCGCAGCGAAGCGCGGCCCTCACGACACCTCCTGCAGGAAGGGCCAAGCTCGGTCCCACACTGTGCTTCAGCCCCGGGCTTGTTCGAAATCCTCGTGGGATGGGAAATAACAGAAGTGGTGATCCAAAGATAAGTCAGAGGTGGTTGGTGTCATTGTCCTGGAAGTGGAATAGAAAAGGTGCATTTCTGACAGCAATTATTCTTACAACGGTGAACCTTTGGAGCATGGGCCGCCGTGGGACAGCTCCGTGTGGGCCTCCCTCACAGTTCCTGTGGGGGAAGTTGGTTCTGATTTCTGTAGCTGTGTCACAAAAGTTCTAGGGGTCAAACTTTGTCTGGGAGAACAAAGAGGAACAAAAGATTTTACAGAAAAATATTTTTGAAGATTCTTGTCTATCCCAGGGGAATATTTTCTGGCTCTGCAGGGAGCCACAGGATTTTTGCTATCACACAGCATTTAAAGGGGAGCCTCACTGCTACCTGTGCTATTCTGAAGTTGTAACAAGAACGAGCTGAATTACTTTAAAAAATAAATACTTTTAATATGAAATGGAGCTTCATTTACATGCGGCTAATGTTAATATGAAAAGCTTGCTATAGTAAATATGTAGTCTGATAGGAGCTGCTGGAATCAAAGCCAAATTATTATCAATTTGGCTATTCTGAGCAGCTGCCTACTTTATCTTTGAAATAAATTAATAAATGCCTGGATTTTTTTTTTTTTTTTTTAGAAAAAAATTGAATTAGGCTACTATGAAAGCACAAAAGTATTCTCTCTATTTCTGTCTGAGGATGTTGTGAATATTTGCACTGCTCTTTTTTGACACTATGGGTAATAGCAGAAGCAGCGTGGATTAAGCCTTTCTCGGAGAGCATGGCATAGGCTGTAATAGAAGTCTCTCAAAAGAAAAAAAAATCATTGCTTTGAAAAACCTCAAAAGATACATTAAAAAAAAGAAGCTTCATGCTTATGGGCATGGTAGCCCTTGATAAAAGGCTACACAGTCCTAGCTCTCAAAACACTCTTGAAATTAAATTAAATCCATTGAAATTCTTTAGTAAAGGCCTAAGAAGTAATAGCTTTTATTCTGTCAGGGTGCCCTACTGGGTCTTTCCTTTCCAAGCCACCTGAGATCCTCCTCTTAATAGCAGAGCTGATTGTAGATATGTGTCCCAGAATCCACAACATTACAGCAGTTCATCTGTCCATTTCACTTCTCCCCCTTTTTGAGGTAGGGGTGAACACTATGCAAAGTACTGAGAGTCTCAGAAATTACTCTTTTTCTGCCTCTTTCTGGCCACTTGACTCCTCTTCACCTTCAGAACAAAAGCAGCTCTGCTTTTATGAAATAAGCTGTGACAGTATGAGCAGCCGTTCCTGTATTTTGCCCATGCCAGCAGCTCCCTCTGTGCTGCTGCCCACGGCCTCATGCTGAGTCTGACCTTCAGGCAGGATTCTGCCCCCAGCTGCAGGTGTAGCACTGCCAGCCCTTTTGCTGGCTCCGACAGCCGTGTTTTTAATGAATCCCACATGGGAAGGAGGGACAGATGTGGTGATGAAAAGACAAGGCTTTCTCCTTGTGAGGTGCAGGGGCAGGCACTTACCTGCATATGTCAAATAAATGTGCTACAGTGTCAAGTGTGGATGGTGTGCAAACTGAATGTAATAGGAACAGGTTGGTGTATTTTTCATAATGTGCATATTATGTCCCATATACTCCAGGGAAAAAACCCCAACAGGACCCTGGGGACTGCTCTGAAGCATTACAGGTAAAGCACTATAATTTCCTTGAAATTTCCAAGTATAAATTACCACCTCTTATTATAATATCTTTGATATTAGTGTTTTCTTCTGACTCTCTCACATTTCTGTTTTTGCAGTTCTGCAGTATGTGAAACACCTGTTATTATAAGTATTGATGATACTGAAGATATAACAAGGCTCCTGCAGCATAGAAACCTGTGTCAATAGGTATGTGAATGAAAGGGTGGGAGGGGAGCTGACGGTAAGAAGTTCAGAAACCTGACTCTTTACAGTAACTTTGACTTCCTCTATATAAAATCTTGCTGTTTTGAAGTTTGCAGGTTAAATATATAAAGGGATGACTTGGCTATGGGAACTTTCCCTTCCTCAGACAGTATCTGATAAGGTTCTACCAACAAATCAAAGGTTTGTGTGCAAATGTGCTTGTGCTTGTGGTTAGGTGTGTGTTATCCTGTTATTTGGCTTACAAATTTTCATACCAGCTTTGCAGCCTACTTTTGCAAAGAATCTGTTTGTTCTAGAAAACTGACCCAAATAATAATTTTGCAAGGAAAATCCCCAGAGTTCTCTGCAGGAGCAGGATTTGAACTCATTGACTCCTACATAAGAATGAAAGTGTTTTAGTTCCACGCCTACCAGCAATTTGCTTGACCCCTGAGGCAGCAGCAAAGAGTCATCCTCAGCCCCCAGGGTCAAGAGCCATGAGTGCTGTGGAATGACAGGGCCTGTACTGCAGTCTGTGGACAGCCTTGTCTGTGTCCTGGCCCAGAGAGGATACAGAGATGGCCCAGTCCTTTCCTGCACCCCGTGATGTCTCTCAGGTTGTCCAACAGCTGCAGGTAGCAGTGGGGAAAAAGTGGTGAAGTTTCATTTCTAAGGTTTGTTCAAGGCATATAAAGAAGAAGAACTCCTGCATACATCTAGGCTGTAACTGCTAGCGTTAGTGTACTCTAGCTTGCACTAATATCCATGTGGGAAAATGGAGAAACCTTAGAGACTGTATTTCTTCCCTTGTAATTACCAAGAGCTCAGTTAAATGTTTTCAGGCCTATGGTTTTTGGCCGTGTTACTGAATCACAGCTCTTCACAGCAACCATACAGCAGCAGGCTTTAAAAGTACTAGGGAATGGCTTGAAGATTTCATTGCATTTACTGCAGTGATTACACAGACTCTGAAAGTTCAGAGTTCTAATAGTAGGTGAGGTGGCAGTAGGGTTTGTGTTTGGACTAAACCCTCATATTAAAAAGAATATTTCACAGCAGAAGTGTTTGAGACTTCCATACAAATAGGAAACAGGATCACTCCAGAGTGGCATAAATGGAAGCCTTTGCTTTGCTTTTAAAATTTCAGAATTCACCATCCAAGTGTCTACAAGAGGCAACGTGACTTCAGAGTCCTAGAATTTCAGAGCTATCTTGTTAGTTTTGCTGAGAATAATTAGGAGATGCTTGTGTCTGTAACCTTCCTGGTCAGCTATGTAGTTTTTGCAGCTACAGAACCTTAATTCTTTCATAGCTTTGTATGCTGGGCATAGATAAGGCTTTACCTTCAGACAAAGATATGCTGAGCAATCTGCACCTCATTTTAGTCTGATATCCCAGCTTAATTTTCAATTTTCTGAGGTTCAGAAAGTTGCTTCATACTGATCAATGGAGATACATTCTGGTGAATGTGTAGAAAAAAAGATTTTTATATTTATTTCCCTTCAAATATACATGATTTTAAACAGTCTCAAGCATTCAGCCAGAGTGATTGATTTATTGGGAGCTGATTGATGGTCAGTATTTGAATTATTTAAGGTAGTTTCAAAAATGAATACAATTTTTTACTTAAATACAGATTTCCTGTTACTAAGGGAGGTGAATGGAAATAAATTAAGATATTGTGTAGTCTTATCTTCCTTCTTGGGTGTTCTTACCATATGGGCAAGCATTGCCTGATTAAAATATATTATTGTAAGTAGGCTGAATGATACTGCAGTGTTTAGTGGGAAGAGGTTTCTTTGATGAAGTCTAGAGAGCTCCCATACAAAAATACCACACTTGCTCTACCATACTTTGCAGTGTGGAATCTTTTTTCAGTTGATACTGGGCAGTTATGAATCAGGGAAGAATTTTCAGTGGATATGTGGTGGTTGGTGTGTGCATGTGCTCATGCATCATGTCCACAGCAATGTTGATGAAAAGCTCTACTAGTCCTATGTTGTGAAAATAATTTTCAATTCTCTAGCCCTCTCTCTGAAACATCTTCAGGATGATTCCAGAGATAAGGAGAAGCATAAAGGTGGGGTTCAGAAGGCAAAAGTTGTTAATAAACTAGAAGGGGGAAAATATTTTAAAAATAAAATAAAGAAACCCTAACAAAATAAAGGCATTGATCACTTTGAACTACCCAGCTAGACCTGCTGCTTATGTGTGTCTTCTAGCTGTTCTACCCCTCTTTTCCTGAAATACAATTTTAGCAATTTCACAAAGCTGATTTAAAACATAAGACACCATGGAGTTCTATCTCAGGAAAGTCTTAGCTGATGTGTGTTGGTTGCAATGTATTCTAACTAAAACTAAGGAGGATGGGACAGGCTTTTCATCTGGATAGCTCTGTGTGGAATGGTGCATGAATATACAGCAAATATATGTGTCTGAATAGACATAGGTATAGTCATATAAATGTCAGAAAAAGCTGCTCAAATACATGGTCATAGGTCTTTAGTGTTTATTTAGTGCATTTTAAATACAATTTTTCTTTCATATGTACTGTATTTTCAAGTTCCATTTCTATCTGTCCTTCACCTCACTGGAGTATTCAATTTCTCTCCACCTAAGACCAGCAGGAAGTCTGTAAAATTGCTTTTTTTTTTTAGTAAGAACTGTAGGATTTGATCTATAGTTTTAGTGTAGATGAAAGAAATAATGGATTTCTTTGGAAAAAAATCCAAGGAAAATCGGGACCATTTTGTTCAATACTACACCACTGTTTTCAGTAATTGCCTTGTACAGTTTGCAAGTCTTTCCACTTTATGTAAATACATTAACTTCTGAAAATCCCTTATAGCTGTGAGGTGGGGCCTTTTGAAGGAGGTGTTCTTTTGAAGGTTTGAGGGTCTCTTAAACACACATTTTCTTTCTTCAAAGTAAATCTTGTAGACTCCCTGTCACAAATCCTTCTTGTTAGGAATTCTGCTTGAAGAACTGTTTGAATTTCAATATCAAGTATTTCAAACAAATACATCTAATGCCTCAATACATTTTTCTTAGGGTCAGTCAGTGGCCCTAAATAAGAAAGGGAACCTCTGATAATTTGAATTTGATTTCCAGCAACACTTTGAAGAAAAAAATAAAATAAAATCTGAGCTTTTTTTTTTATAGTTACTCCTGAAAACCAGGAAAAAGGAAGTAACTATAAAGTAAACTTTCAGTTTTTGAAACTGCTTTCTCTGCTTCTTTATTTTGTGCTCCCATTCCCTAAATTTTGTAAGATGAGTGTGAGGTGAAAAGCTGTAACAGAAAATAATGCAATAACTTAAAGGTAGGTTTTGGTCTTGACTCAGAAGGAATAACTAAGTATTAAGCATGTGTGTTTTTATCAGTTTAAGCTGTCAAGTGAATAACAGTTATATTTGAGTTTTCTGTAGTAAAATCCTGTTTTAGAAAATTTTAGTGATTGCAGGACAAGTGGTCTGTTTACACATCACTGAAAATGTGAGGCCATAAGACTTTAAAACATTTACCTCTGATTTTTTATTGTAGCTAAGAAAGGATATTTTGCTTGATATAAATTTGAAAATTTGGAAGTGTTATGATGCAAAGATTGTGTTGGCTACAAATCAAGAAAGAGAAAAGGTACTTGTAAAATTAGGATATGGAGAAAAAGAATATCATATCTCAAGAAATTTGCATAACAAAAGCTAGAATTTTGCTCAGTATCTCTGCTTCTGTGGATGTCAGGAAGTACATACCTCATCGTGGTTTTAAAGCCTTTAGCTATGAGACAATTAAGGAAGAACATAGATTTCTTAAAAGATTGTCTGGTTTATGTTAAAAGATTATACTGCTCAAGGACACCTTATTAAGAAAACCAGAAGTGAACATTCTTCTTTAAGTCCAGACTCATTTTTACAGTCAGGGTCTCCAGGAAATAAGTAATAAATCTGGAATGTTCTAAAATCCTTTCCCATAATTCAAGGTCAAGTTATAAAACTTAAGTTGCTGTGTCTCTTGCTAGATATGTATTTGCTATGGTTCTTAGAGCTAAAAGCTCCCAAGAAGAGGCCCTTTAAATGTTATTGACATTAATTTTAGGAGCAAATTTTATCATTACCCTTGCTGAGCTAGGCAGTATGAGCTGCTTAAAACAAGTGTATGGTCAAAGGTTTTTATGCAGCATGGAACACAAAACATTTAAAGGATCCTCTTTGCCTGATAACCCTTCCTTCAAAAAATGGCAACTGTTCTGCAACTTCATCCATCCTTACATACTTATGTACATGTTCCTATATGTACCTACAGATACACTGAGAATCCTGTGGATCATTGCCTTTTTGGAACACTTATTGGGACTTCACAAATGCCTGTAGAGCTGAGGGTAGAACACAGCAGCCTGACATTTAGGTGAAGCTGGATGTAGTAAAAGCACATTGCATTGTACTGGTGTCTGTGCTTTCTCTGCTGAGATTTTTACCAGCATCCTACTTGAATATGCAGAGCTCTCAGTGACCACCACTTCTTGCTCCATGATCTGCTTTTCTCCTCTGCTCTCCTCTTCCCTCTCCTCTCCTTCCCTCCCACTCACAATTGCATTGCTCGACCAGAACACGAGTGTGCTGCACAGAGCTGGCTGTCAAAGCACTGCTATGGCAAGGGACAGCTGGGGAGGAAAGGAAGCCTCTGTCAGTGCTTGTCCCCAGCTTAGGAGAAGGACAACACAAATCTCTGCACTAGAAGTGTATGTCATCCAATGATGAAAGTGTTCAAATTTTCCAAATAATCCTGCAGAAATGGCCATAAAACAACAGCTATATATTTTTAAATATGTAAAACTCAACATCACACTTCAGCAGGTAAGGGGAGGAAGAGATACTGGTTACTGTGCATACCATAGGTAGACTAAAATATGTGGTTAAAGTGCAAGCCGAGACACACTGAGACATAAAATGCATCCCATCAAAGGTGCTGCCCAAAAGTGTTACTGGGAGAGCTGTGTAGTGGATCATTTTGCTCCAAGGTGTTAAAGTCCTATCATGTCAAAAGGGAGTTATTGACAAGCTGAAAGAGCAGCTGGGGCCGGGAAGAGTGAGAGATGTGCTCTCAGCACATGGACTGGACAGAACTTCAAATGTCTGTATACTTCTGCAACCTCTCCTCTGCCCCAGAGCAGGGTTATAGGTCCTGCAACACCTGGGAGTTAGTGTGCTTTAGTTCAGTGCAAGCTTCACATCACCCAATGTATCATGACAAGAGATAAGAAAGCAGCTTACCAACTGAGGAAAACCTGAGGGATCTGACTCTAAAGGTTTTGCCAAATCTTTAATGTAGTCCTTAGATGAGAATATGGATGGTATTTATCTGTCTCTGTACTTTTCTGCTTTCAGTAAGAAAGTTATGGCACTGGTGGCAGCCAGATTGGTGAAGAGGAGCTTGGTACCTCTGATGTATAGAATGAAAGCTGAGATGTCAGGTTGTCCCCAAAGGATCAATCCTATCATCCAAACAATCTAAAGGTAAGAAGGCATGGACTCACCTCAAGTGTTTCAGTATGTTAAATTGAGGGCCAGGATATCAATACTTCTGTTTTCAGCTCCCGAAGTATTCCTTGCTTTAGGGACCCACAGTGGGCTGCATCAAAATGCCTTAGCTGATCTCCAGAAAGTCCATCTGCAAAGAGACAACATAAATGAAATTGTGGCTTCACTGATGTAGCTGTAATTTCCCTTAGCTGGAAAAGGTTATATTAAGTTCCTCAGTTATGAATTTTGCAGCTCTGCACAGTTTCTTCGCCTTGGTAATTATTATACAGGAACCAGAAAGTGAAACCAGTTTGGAAAGCTGAGAGCAGCATCGATTTATGGGCAAAGCTGAGGCAAGTGCAAGAAGCAACAGTCAGAAATTTTTATTTATTTTCAGTTATAGCTTTATTTGGTCTAATAGTCCTAATCTGGCAGTCCTGAAAAACACTGCTGATGATCTTTCATGACAGTAAAGGTATTAAATACATATGATGTTGCAGTTAAACAAAACTTGCTTCAACTACATACATTTTTTACAAATATAGCATAAAAAGTATTGTCAGTAGTTTAAGTGGGTATTTGCTGGGATTCAAGAGAAATAATCAATTTGATAAGATTTTGGGGTTTTGTTTTTCCTTTTGAACTCTTACGTGTTCAATAAATGGTTGTAGGTGGTTTGGATGATTGGTAGATAATTTATAAAACTGGTTTCACATAATTTAACTATTGTAGGTCATGAAAACCAAACTATTTTGCCCCTTAATTAATCTGAATGTTAATGAAAGCATAGAACTATTTAAAATGGATAAACAAGAATTGATGCATGATCTTCAGAGAGATCCCATAGTTATATGGTTATACAAAGAATGTGTACATTTTCAGCTGTTCAACTTTCTAATATGAGCTAGGACATGTATAAAACCCAGGCCTTCTCAAAATTACTTCTACTTCCTGTTACCTCTTGGAGTTGAGAAGAGGCCATTGTGGAAGCAGCAAAGAAAAGCTCTTCCCACCTTGTTTTTGAACTTCTCTTTTCTCACCCTGCTTCTGTTCCTCATGCAAAAGTATGCATGGAGCTTGTTTTCCTCAGGACTGGTATTTTGGTGCCCAAAAATGGTAGCAGTATGTGAAAGGAATTTCCAGCTAGAATAGAGTGTATGTAAGTCTAACCTTACAGATTCATGAATGAACAAGGTGAACTGTCTGTGAAAAGTAGTGAGACAGTTCAGGATTTTTTTCAGGCTGATGTAGGAAATTTGGAGAAAGGAAGGTTCTGAGTGCAAGGAATATAGCACCAAGGATTATTTTGATCAGGGACAGTGGAGGGCAGGCAGGTCATGTTTTGTTTGCTATCATCTGTCTTTAATTTGTTCCTGTTTGTAGTAGAAGAAGGAAAGGAAAATGAACAGGTTATTTGCTTTTCTTAGACAAATTTATTTGTGAATCTGTATTTTTCCATCGTCTCCTCCACCTAAAAGGACAGTTGGCTGATGGAGTGGGTAAAGTCTCAGAAAATTCACCCCTTCAGAATGTGTCTCTATTGATCAGTGTGGATGGAGCAACTTTCTGAACCTCAGTAAACTGAAAATTAAGCTGGAATATGAAAATAAAATGAGGTTCAGATAGCTAGCATAGCTTTGTTAAGGAAAAGCCTTAATTTTTGTTTACCAGGTGGTAGGCCTGACAGACTGTCTTTGTTCTAGGAACCAGCACTTTATTTATAGCTTGCATCAAAATCAATTTAAAATAAAGCCTCTGTATTTTAACACAAAATCTCATAAACTCTAAAGAGGATCTTCTTATGAGAAGAAGGCAAAAAACTGACAGAAACTCTTGCTAAATAATTGTTGCATGAAGTTTCATCTTCTGTGATATTTCCTAATGTACTAAGTGTAGGAAGTAACACTTGCTGTAAGGCAGAAAGAGGATGTGCAAATATTTTATGCTGAACTGGGGAGTAAAAGCACATTACCAAATTAGTATATCGGCCTGAGCTTGGTATGGGAAAAATGAGCTATTTTTGCTAATAATTTATATTGCTAGCATTTTATCACTTTTTAGAATTAAACCTAAGAAGCAATAGTGATACTATGTTTTTTGCCTTTTTTTTTTTTTTTTTGACAGAGACTAGATTTTTGGCAGTGTGCACATGAGCACATATTATAAAAGTTGTGAAATTGTGGTGTTTCTTTGGGTCCTGTTTTATGAGAAACATGGAAAGCTTTTTTTTTTTTTTTTTTTTTTCCTTGTTTTGCTTCTCTTGTGATTCAGTGGTTTACACTCTGAGATTTCCAGGTGTTTGGGGAATACCACAACATGGGATTACCAGCTTCCCCTCCTCCCCTTCCACCATCCTTTCTGGGTTATTTTTGGCTCTTCCATTGCACTGTATGCACAGATTGTATGTATTTATAAGGCCTCAGCAATATGTTTCTTGAGCTTTGTGACCCAGTTAAAATAGCCAATTTGTGCTAAATGTCTTTGAGTGCTTATTATAAAATGTCCTATAGTGAAACAGAAATTAGCTATAAAACCCAAATACCAAAAAAAAAAATCTATTTGTTTCAGTTTTTGACTTCCCAATGCTGTCTTTTCTCTTACCTGTTGTAAATCACTCAAATATTTGCTTGACTCTGCCAAAATTTGTCTTGCACGAGTCTGCTGTTTACATGATTATTACTTTAAAAGCATATATCCAATATTTTTGCACCTCTGTTAGCTGACTCTAATTATGCACATTAACAAGAAGTGGTAAATATTTTCAATTACATGAATGACTTTTGCATTACTATTTTTCTTTAAAGTTTAGAATTTACTGCCTTTGCTAAATACTGTGTTGTTTTTTTTTAGTGTGAGAATAAACTAAGACATCCAGTGCATCCTTAGACAGACTTATTTTTTTTTTTAACAGAGTATCAGCACTATGAACTTGTCACATTTTAAGATAGCTTGTAGTGTGTGTGAAAAAAAAAACCTGAATGACTTAGAGGCATGGAAACTGAGGGAGGGAGATACAGACCCTGATGTACAAGGTAAATAAATCAACGGGATCAGTTTTCCTAACTGTTTCAAATTCAAAGATAACTATTGTGACTTTAGATTATAGAAATCTTCCAGACTCTTGTAGATTTATAGCAGTAGTTTCTTGACAAGCCACTGAGGAAGAAGTAATGCCTGCCACATGGTTATCTTTGGAGACATCTCTCTAACCCTTCTGGACAGTCCAGAGAGAAAAATCATGTCACAATGTGAAGAGGGGCAGGAGATGGGCTATCAGAAGATGACCGACAGCATCACTGTAAGCAGACAAGCCTTCTAGGTAAAGATTTGTGGTTTATGCTTATAAATACCTTCCTCAAAGGCATTTTTTGCTTCTATACAGTAATGATTACAATCAACTGTGGGATTGCATGTCCATCCAAAACATAATCATAGCTGGAATGTTAGAAATACATTTGTTATAGAGTAATCCTGTGGTTTTTTTGGTAAAATGCACACAAATACTCTTGGCTATAAGCACTATCTGACAGACAGTGAAATACCAGAACAACTTGTAGACCACAACTAATAGGGTATGACAACCAGTCGGGCACCCCAGGTGAGAAACAGTCTGTGTGGGAGCAGGATACAGTGGTAGAAGAAAAGAATACAGAAGTTAAAATCACAGAAGGTACCTGCTTGGGAAGAACAGGAAAGGGGACAGGGAACTCACAGAAAGCAGGATGGTCTGCTCATTTACAACAGAGACTAGAGAGAGTTAACTCAGAAGCAGCATCTTGTAGGAAGATAGCCTGAAACATGGATTCAGTAGCCTACCCTGACCCTGGTCCTGGCCTGCTTCAGCTGAAGTTGAGCATTAAAAACAAATGAAAAAAATAAAGCCCACCCTGTGTTTTACCTTCACAATAAACAGACTGGTCTTTATATTTGATGCAGAGCACACAGGAAGCAATATTCAAGAGATAAGGGAATACCCAGTGATCTGCAATAAAACCAGAATGTAAAGACTTTGAAAAAGACTGTTTGTAAGCATTTTCTTCTTTTTCTGTGTGGGGTCTTTTGTGTTGGCAGGTGCTACTATTGCTTTACTCATGTTCCATCAGGACTTCTGCAAACATGGCCCAACTGTGACTTTATGGTGCAGGTAAGACAGCATTTACTGCAGAGTGTTACGTAATTAAGTATAATTCTGTGTATAATTTGGTAAAATTAACCAGCAAGTATAGATTAGCTAGTACCAAGCCATCAGCAAGTAAGTAACCAGTTTAGCTGAAGGCAGAGTGGATTTTGTGACGGTGATAGGGGAGACCCTGCACAGAGGCAGCTTGTTTGGTACCTTCAGCTGAGATGGTATTCTCAGCCCGATTGTTCAGAAGACAATGCCCTGCCTGGAATTCAGCTCACTGCCCTTTAAAATTGTGGTTCTTCATTTGTTGAGACAATATGAAGAATATAGAATTCATATAGACAATATGAATGCCTATAGAACCCAAAAGTTGGTACTAGGAAATGAAACTGGGGGGGGAAAACCAGAATCGGACTAAGAGGAGGAAAAATCTTCCACTGTTGAAGAGCTCTTCTGAATGAGAGTTCAAGAAGTGGTCCAGGGGAAGCAAATATTCAATTGTCATCCCTTCTTTTCATTTTCCCTTTCAAAGTGAATGATGGAAGGATACAAAGAAAAGATGCTATGGGTAAAATGTTATGGGTAAAAATGTTTATTTGATGTTTTATAACGAAAAATTATCTTATTCACTGTGCAATATTCGAACACCTTATACAAAGCTAAATCCTGAGCTGTTCTCAGCATCCAGCACTTATTCAGAACCAAGAGGCAGAGCAGATGTTCAGCACAAATCTAAAAAAATCCCAGGATTTATGGGTATGCTGACACTTTAAGGGTAGCAAATTCTAAGTGGGCATGTTAAAGGGAGCTATTCAAGAACATTAATTTAACAATAACTGAGCCTACTGTTATCCTGCATTGATTTTATCTGTTAGCAAGAAGTAGGTGCCTGGCTCTTGCAAGAGCTTCTCGTAGGCTTATTGCTCATTTTGGGCCAGATTGTGAAGAGTGCCTCAGGGATACCAGAATACGTTCTGTGTCCTGAGCAGGTACAGCACAGATCATGCAGGCAACATATGAAGTGAAGATGTCAAATCGTCGTTGCCTGAGGGTTGATAGCAGCAGAGCAGTATGCTTACACAAAGAGCTCTATTGTTTACTCTTGACCTTAAAATAATTTGATCCAATATGACACATTAAGTAGAAATGTTTTCTTTCTTCAAGAAATAGTTCTTGGCAATTGAAAACAAGCCTGAAAAAGTATGTAAAAAACAGATTCCTTAGCAAATGTTCAGTGAAACATTAAGACTGTTATATCTTCTCTAGCGTGAATAGTGTTTTCACTGTAAGACTGTCAAATTAATTTTACTGGATAAAATGCATAATGCAGGTAACCCCTTGATTTAAACAGAGTTGCCCTTGGGATAAATTTATCCTCTGTCCCTTAGTGTTTGAAAAAGCATGTGACTTCAGTTTCTGTGAACTGGCTAATTTTAATATGCAGTGTGCTGAGTATCACTGTAACTGAGCTGAGTCATATGAGATGACTTCAATGCAAGGGAAATTATGTAAAACGAAGTCTGCATAAATATCTTTATAAAGTCTTTAAGTATAAATGATGTTTTGAGTATGTAGAGAATTTATTTTTTATTTAGTCACGTGCTTTGTAATTTATTCTTTCAAGGAATCTGAACAAAAGGAAAACACAAGTGAGTACTTGAGAATACATTGATTGAGAAAACTAATTCATACTACATTTTGGAAACACATTAACACAAAACAGCATTAGGTTTAGATACCAGTGCAGAACACCATTACCTGAATTAACCCTTACCCTCCACATCATTATACCCTCCGAAAAACAAATAAATCTGAGTTAAAATTCTTGGTGATGAATGCCAAAGTGAAACCATAATGACTGGACTTGGAAGTTGTGTTGTGTGAGGAATGGGAATGCTGCTAAACTCTTAGGGAAATGAACACTTAGGGTGAAACAGAGCATCATGAAATCATATGAAAAGACAACAGTGAGGTTTCACTGGCATCCTTCAGTCCCGGTTCCTATGGCATTAAACACAGTGAGTGCCAGGAATGGTCATTTTTGGTCATTTTACCCTGATTACTGCTACTGTTGTCATCCTTTAATCTTTCCAGTCTATTTCCTCCTGGCTCAGTAGTACCAGGCAGAGATAGGGAATGGTCTGGGGAACACTCTTGGAGAAGAAAAAGGGAATCTCAGAATAATACCACATGGTTGGAAAGTTCACGCTCTCCCTTCCTTTAGGGTAAATAGTGGTGAGTTTTTTGGCTGTTCTTTACTTTGCTCTGCCCTTCACTGGAATAGGAAGCAGCTCCTTGGCTTCTCCCCAAAGAATAGTAAGGTATTTTTTAGCTGCATTAGCATACGGTAGAGTTGTTCTGGGGCAGAAGTGTCATGCATGTGTGCTTGCTCTCTCCCTTTCTCTGTTACACCCTGCAATCTGATGCCTCTGGGTTGCACAACTTAAAGAAGAGAGTTACAGAAACACCTCCTGCTAGAAAGCAAGTTAGCAGGGACTGCGAAGGCTGTGAGAGACCTTGGTGTCTCTCAGCTAGCTCTAAGACTGTTTGGGATCTGGGCAGAGCTTTTGCACTGTCTAACATCAGTGGCTGAGCACCTACAGCAGTTTTGTCTGATGTCTTATGAGAGGCTGTGCATGGAGATGAGTATGTGGTGTTTCTAGGATCGCAGCTCCTGGTTCCAATGCTGTGGTCTTATTAGCAGTGAGAGAACCAGACTCTTCCTCCCAGGCTACCCAGGGGGATGAGTACAAAAGAGAAAGACTTCCAAAGAAATGGATAACTTAAGCAGCTGCACATTTTTAATGTCATTTTAGAAATCCTTATTAATACGAATGGATGGTTCTGGCTTTGATTCTTTCCAGGACACAGGGGAAGTATACTGCTCTAGTTACATACTGACATAATCTTGTTGGCCAATTAAAAATTCAGGCTCTGTCCTGAGAAAGGATTTATTTTAACAGTCCATTGTTTAATGTGCAAATAGAGTAAATTCTCCCATTCCCACAAAAGGGAAGTTTTTGATTTAACCTTGGGAAAGGAGACTACAGTTTATGTTTGGAAAAAGACTTCATGAGTTCTAACAGAATCATAGAATGTTAAAGGTTGGAAGGGTCCTTGAAGATCATCCAGTCTCAACCCTCCTTTAGTGGGCAGAGAGATCTCCCACTAGACCAGGCTGCACAAGGCTTTATCCAACCTGGCTTTGAACACTGCCGGTGTTTGGACATCCACAACCTCCCTGGACAACCTTTCCAGTAACCACCCTCGCAGTAAAGAATTTCTTCCTAATATCTTACCTAAATTTCTCTTCTTTCAACTTGTATCTGTTACTCTTCATCCTGTCACTACAGTTCTTGATGAAGAGTCCTTTGGCTTCCCTCTAGGCCCCTTCAGGTGAGGTCTCCACACAACTTTCTCCAGGCTGAACAGCCCAAACTTTCCCAGCCTGTTTTCATAGGGAAGGTGCTCCAATCCTCTTATCAACTTTGTTACCCTCCTCTGGATTTGCTCCAACAGTTCCGTGTCCTTCTTCTGTAATTTTGTAACTTTGGTCATTAATTTTAACAGCTGATGGTTTATGGTCAGCAGTATACCTGGAACAGTGGGATCACTGGAGTGTGTGATGTTCTCACTAAATGATAGATAGGGTATGTTGCAATATTTCAGTGCTGTGGAAGCTCTGTAAATATCACACAGTCAGAAAAGATCCATTCTGCAGGAATTATCTTGGGGTTGCATCTAGAGGAGTTGAGTGGAGATTGCATGAAACTACTGGAAGGTCAGGTGGGAAAGGAGCCTGGCTCTCTTTGAGAACCTTTAGGAGAGATTCCTCACAGGATGTCATGCACTCTGCTCATCAGATGGCATCTGTCAGCCATGCTGGTATGCTGCTTTTGTCTGGGATAAAAGGGACTAAGATGCCATTGCTGCAGGCAATGTATGGCCGTAGTTCAAATTTAATTTGTGACAACTCCAGGATGATGACATTATTTTATATCAAAATTGGAGTCTCTGGAAAGTCAGAGCAATATCATTGGATCAGTTTTGTTCTGAACACATTTACAATATAATTATTATTACAGACACTTTGTATGGAGATGTATTGCTTAATGAAAGCTAAGATTTTGGTCTGTGTTTGTAAGACTTGACTCAAGAATAGAAGATGTATTTAATCTTCTGAGGGATTTGATTCAGTCATGTCATTTGTGAATTATGTGAATTTATGCAGCTTTTTCCTGTGTGTTTCTTAGGAAGTCTCTGAAGGACTTATGAATAGGCAGCACAAAAGTATTCTCTTCCCATCTTTATTTGTCTTATGACAGGGTTCTGCTGATTCTTTTAGAGCCTTTGACATCTTCAAAAAGAGAAGCAATCAAATATTTCTTCCCCTTGTTGTCTACTATATAAGGGGCATTTGTTACCAAATTGTTGGGAACATGCAATGAGGGAAAATGTCTTTGCTGTACCTTATATTAAGTCCATGAAAGCAACAACAACCCTCCTGCACTATTATGGTAAAGAATTGCATTGAGTTCTCCAATTCTAAACATTACAGAAAACAGACTGCCTCTATCCATTTGTTCTGTAATACTGTCATACCCAGAAAGACATCCTTGTCTAAAGATTCAGAAATATATCCCACCAAATCACAAAATACTTAGGGTTGGAACAGATCTCTAGCGATCATCTAGTTCAACCCCATTTTTAATTGGTTTTCATTTAATCATCAGTAACTTCACCTGAGGATGCATTTTTATGAAGACCTTGTTGTCAGAAGTGTTTTGGTGACTTGTGGTTAGGGTTTCTCTTTCTCTCAACAGAAAACTCAAGAAACATATATAACATATATGGGAATCAGTGAATGCATGCAGGAAAGTGCACATGAAGGGAAAAAAATGGCTTTACTAAATCCAGTCCTATGGAAAGTGGAGTCCTATGTAGCTCCTAAGTACAAAGGAAGAAATAGTTGAAAATAATCTACTTTAGTTGAATTAAGGAAGCTAAGTATTACTGCAG